ATGTATCAGTCAGGTTTTTAGAGCTGAGGAGGCTACGGGCCTTGCGCTCACCCACACAGGATGCTCTGCACATGCACCTCAGCTGTGACTGCAGCCAGTGTGGTGTGTCCAGTGTAGGACCTTCTGTGCACCAGGGGTGCAGAGCATAAGGCCTTCCTATAGACTTCTGCCTTGTGGTCGCAGTTACATATGGGTAGACAGGGAAGGTCATTTCTGACAGACTTCATGATAAAGTTTGCTAGCCTTGCACTTTGTTTATTAGACTTCCCAAGCCAACTTTACAATCCCTTAAATCAGCCATGGTTTTGGTTATAAAGAGAGTGCTTTGTCATGTTTCTTTTAAATTTCCAGTGTGATTTAACCTTACAGCTGATGCTAAGTATCTGACTGCAGAATGGTACTACGTTCTTGTGCACGCACATGTAGAGTGGAAGAGGTGGCTGTACAGGAAAAAAACAGAATAGTGACGCTGAGCTGGGAGAAGAAATAGCAACTTTGGCTCTAGCATTGGTCTGTCTCTGTGGTAACTTTGACTTTCATCAGTAAGAAGGATAATTGACACTGGTGATAATAGGCAGCTCTTCTGCATTTCTGGAAATAACTGTGACTCATCTGATTTAAATAGAAAATAGAAATGCGTCTTCTGGGTGGGCAACAGGTTGGCTAGCAAATTCAGGGAGAGAAACACCTGTGTTCCAGACATGAACAGTCCTGTGTCTCCACAGCAGAGCCATCTGTGCCACAGGTTGCTTGCCAGATTTTTCTGCAGACGGAGTTTATCTATTAGAAAGATGATTCCACAGTGCAGCGTGGATATGTGCCGCTTTCAGACAATCCACACAGAAAAGATAATGCTGCCCATTCAGTGGCAGCATCTGTTATTTGGCATGTACTTTGAGTATGATTATTGCTAGTGACTTGCTGCTGAAATATTGGAAGCACCATCATGATCTAAATAGCATTTAAATAGCAGGGTGTTTTATGTGCTCTCTGCTGTTTCATAGCAGCAGGTGAACATCACCAATATCTCCATTCTTCTACTGGGTAAGCTGAGGTATAACAAAGTCTATATTTATTTCCTGCCCGCAGCTTTGTGTTGCATCCATGTCAAAGGCACAAGTAGTAGAGAAGTTTTTTGAATCCCCATTTGGTATCTTTTCCATTAGGATGGTGCTATTTTGCTAAAAGTGTATTACACAGATACCACACTATTAGCATGGTCACCTAATAAATGAAGAACTGTAGAATAATACTGTACCTCTGTCTCCTTAATTTGGTGAAGATTCAGTAGAATTGTTTTATTGTTTATATTTGCAGATATTCATGGCAAAGTCATTTGATCCCACAATCTGTCTTCTGGGACAACACAGATTATACAGAATATCAGCCAGTGTATTTATAAATTTAGGTGAAGTGGAATTATGTTCTTGTTTTGAAAGCACAGATAAAACTTAGCTTGGTGGTTCCTGCTTGCCCTGTTCTGGTGTCGGAGAAGAATATATGGATTTATGCTATAGAATTTCAATTTTTAAAAAGGCTTTCATGGCCTAATTAACTTTTCCCCCTGGTATTTTAATAGTGTATCTAGATCCTGTCTAGATATATTCCTTGTAGTTCAAAAATTTTTAATCCAACTGGTCACTTTTATCCAGTTTTTATTCTATTTGTCTCGATGTTGAGTAACTCTTAGGATGGTTGAGCCTCAGGAACGTTAGAACGAAGGGGTTAAAGTGGAAAGAAGTTATTTTATCATTTGCATAAAACTAGGCATATTAGTAGCAGTTCAAATAATCTTGTTGCTTCTTAAATTGGTATTCAAAGAGCCAAAAAAATTCTAACATCTCTGATTAGACTGAATTTAATTTTCCTGATTTAGATATTAAATAGAAGTTGTAATTAGTATCTGATTCTCTTATGGAACTTTATTTTTAGGGTAAGCATGTATTTTATTCATGTTTAAACAGTCCTTCAAGTGCTTAGTAATACTGATGTTTCGGCAGTGTCTGAAGAATGGGGTTGCAGTGCTGAATGTCTAAAATAGCCTAAATGCCTAAAACACCATTTCTTTCCAGTTCATGGTATTTTAGAGCTCTAGCAAAGAGACCCAGCTTGCTGACTGTGACAGTCCAACTTCCAAGACTAACCCTGTTGAATAGTGTTTGTGGACTCTTTGTTTATAAGCTATTACATTGCTATTTCTTTATACTTTCAAGCATCTCAGTAATCTGGTGCCAGAGAAGGATGGCTATCTGTAGTACTCTCTAGGTAGTACATCTCTGCTGGGGACACCGGCAGAGTGTTTCCTCTACCATGGAGACTGAACTTTTATTTTCTTAATCTAGTTTTGGTACAGTTTTTCCAGTAAAGTAAGCATAAAAATTTCTAGCTCACTTATTTCCAGCTTTTCCCTGAAGGTCCATCAGGTCTGGGTGCACGAGTATTTCTTCTAGGCTCCCTTTCGCCCATGTAGTGTTCATCTGCCGTGGTTACTAGCCAGACCTTAGCTGCATTGATCTTATACTTTCACCATCATAGTTCTCATATTAAATCCACATGCGATATCTCCATAATCTTCTTAAGGGCGTATCACATAGGTTTCTCTGTCATCTTGTTGGTGCTTTGATGGGGTGGGGAGTCACATAATTGTCCCTTCTGCAGCTTGGACCTCTGGTCATGTTTGCAGAACTGACCACAGCTAAGTGCGGGTAGCACTGCTCCCTTGATGGTTAGCAGAGGGTGCCAGAGTCTAGGCAGTATAGGGGGAAGGTTTTAGACTTCCTCACAAAATTTTTCTCAAAAGGAGGAAAGTTCATTGTTTCCTCCTGTCTTGAAATGAACTTCAGTTCCTCTAAAAGCTGTCACCTATCAGTGTACCCCTATGAGAACATAGCTACTGCAATCCTGATACAATGGTTACATGCTCCACTACTCTTTGTGGTTTATCTTGGAGTTACCCTGAGCTGTTATCAAAATGTGCCAGGGAGGTGTCAGTTGTATCACCTGCAAAATAGACCACTCTAAGGGCCAACCAAGAGCCATTTCGTGGTGCAGTTTATGGCTGTCCGTGTAACATCTCGTCTAGGGCTTAGAGTCTACAATGCTCAGCCATCCCTTCAGTCTGATTTTCCAGCCTTTTGCTGTCCTCTTGCATCATGTGCGAGCTGTATCTAAGGTGCTTCCAGTAGTATAAAAGCTTTAGAGAATCTTCTGCTCGTATTTACTTATCCCATGTTAGGATTAAACAGAGCCTTCCCATCACCCTGTATAAAAAAGGCAGGGAGTAGGAGAAGATAATAGATGAGGATGAAAGGTCTCAGAGTAGCCAAGCAGTTGTGAAAATCTAATGGAAATTTTTCCCAAATACAAGATGTTTCACGAAGACAGACGCATGAACAGCCTGTGACCTCATGGCTGACCACTCCACTGGAAAACAAGTGGTCAAGACAAGGAACTGACAGAGCACCAGGGATGTAGGAGGGAAGCAGAGCAGGAACTGCAGTCCCGCAGGGTTTGGACTGAACACCACACACCTAGGAGAAACTGGATGTGGTATTCTAATGGGAGAAATATTTTTTAATGGGTTTTAACCACAAAAGCCCTCCTAAACCTGAGGAACCTTTGTTTTCAAAGGAATGTTTCTTTATAAATTCCTTTTTATGTTTGGTTACTGGTTTCCCTTCTTTTTCTTTTTTTTTCCCTAACTAATATCTGTGTCAGACAGTGTCTGTTTTGTTGGCTCTGAGGCTGTGTCTTGTTCCTCTAAATGAGATTAGATGGGTGTGCGGGAGGCTGACAGGCCAGCATGGAAGAAAGGATGCCCTGCTGAATATCCGCTGGGAGAGCAGGGCTGAACAACTGCTGGGAAGAGGAGTCACATCAGGGAGCTGGTAACTCAGCTTCAGAAAGAAGACTGGGAATCAGCAGTGGCGAGTATGGGTCAGCCAGTGAGGACTCAATGAGGCTGGAGGGATTTTCCTGAGGTCTGGGAGACCCTGCTCTGACTTCTGAAGTCATTGAATGATTTTAGATTTTAAGCTTAAGGTTGAGGGTTTTAGATAAAGCCATTCAAAACAGCAGGAAAAAAAACAAAACAAGCTTTTTGCTTGCTTTTGTGGAATTCACTACCGGAAAAGGTCTTTCAAAGGCTTGGACCAGCTTGAAGAAGCATCACAATGTGGGAGTACCCAGCTATTTCAGTTTGGGAGACATTGAAGATATTACAAGCTAGGGGGTGAACACAGTTAGCACTTTGCTGTTCAATTCTTCCTTTCCAAGTCATTTCTAAAGAAGGATTTACACAGAGCGAGCCAGAAAGCTCTGCTAGAGCAGTTTGCTGTGGTAGAACTTGCTAATTTCAGCCAGCAGCGGTGGTATCAGATGAGAGCAGGCAGGACCGTTCCAACCATTCCATGTCTGGCTTTTGTTTTGTTTTTGAAGGAAATAAATAGCTGTGCAATTTAGAACATCATTAAGACTTTTTCAGGAGTGAACAGCCCAAGCTTCACTTAGATACATTAAGCTACACAACGCTACAGTAGATAGTTTTCTTTTGTGGAACTCAAAATTTTGCTATCTGCTTTCTGCCTTTCTCCCCCTCGGTTGCCCTCCCACACCCCTTACTCAAAGGAAGCACTGTATGTTACAGTCACTATAGCCTCACTGCTCTTTATGGATTTTAGGGTGAAAGTCCATTAAGAAAAATAAGAAGCAAGTGTGATGATTGAATGACCAAATCAAGAAAGTTGCTAGAGATATTTGTAGGTTTGGTTTCTAGTGGTTCTTTTGGGCAGTCGCTTATGTGTGGCCATTCTTTCCACTGTTTCAGTACATTAGAAATGCCATGAGCATAGCTCAGGAAGAGCTCCAATGAATATTAAGTGAAAGCCCATGGGGTCTACCTGACACTGAAGAAAACACTTCTGTGAGATGAATTGAACAGTTATTTGTGTCTTTTTTCCACTTACTAATTAATATCTTGTTTGGCTTTTGATTTTTCCTAGATATCCGTGGAATACAAGAGTTTTTGGACAAAGTATCTCAACAGGGAATGGATGTAGCATTGCAGAAAGTAGAAAACAACATCAATAAAATGATCACATAATGAACCCCTCGACAGCCAAATCATTCATAACAGAGGTATGTTTTTATCACTGGTAACTTCTTGTTTTGTTGACCAAATCTGCAGTTGTTTGAGCAGTTTATTTAACTCCGTAAAAACAATCAAACGAACAAAAAACCTCCACCAAAACCCAACTAAAAATTTAAATATTCTCTTTAAAGATCATTATGCAAGAGTGTTTTTTCATGCTCATAAATGTGCATAAAGAACAGTGTAATCTATATTCTGCATGAGCAAAAGCATTTAGGAAATATGCAGAAGAATTAGCCAGCAAAATTCTGTTTGAAGCTTGTGGATATTGTATTGCTATTTCCTTGCTCTTTGTGTATATCACAAAAATCTTTACAACTGATAATTTTATTATTATTTAGATACATATTTTTTTTTGTGGATAAAATGTATTTACCTGATTGACATTTCATTTTTTATTAAAGATAATGTTCAATAATTATCTGTTATGTACCGCTGAGTACAAGATACAGGAATTTATGGAGGATTGGATCTGAATGAAGAATTTAAGATGATAGGCTAAAGTTATGCTTACGTATTTAAATAAAAACTGCAAGCAGTATGGATAGAATTTTTAAAAAGCTTTTCAGAATTTAGAAACAGAAGACTTGCATATTGCAGTCGACTATGACATGTAATTTTCTTAAATGACTGGCATGGTTCTTTCTACATAGCATTGTGCTGTTTCAGATGTGGTTTTTTACATGTGTGTTTGCTCCTCATCATCAACCAATAGTTAAAAATTTGTTTTCTGTTCCATAGAAATATAGTTTCTCTTGGCAATAATTTCTCTTTGGATCTGTTTGTAACTTTCATTACTTCTCTTTTATGCTTTCCTACTTCCTAGGTCTTCAGAAATTGAGGCTTAAAAACTAACTCTGCATATGTAGTCTCAAGTGGATGTCTCTTAGGAGCATTAGTTAGAAGAGGGCTTTTTTGTTTGTCTCTGATTTTTTTTTTTTTCTGATTTTTTTGGCTAGGCATTCTGCTGTCCGCATTATACACTGAAGCTAGCTAAATCTGAGTAATGAGCATTTGCTGCTCTTTCCAAATGTCTGCAGTTCCTTATATGATGTAAACAATTTGTGGGCATGTTTTAGATTGTTCTGCACTGTTTTCTTCACCCAGGTCACAAATATTATATTTTCAGTGAGTGGCATTGTAAGATATTTCACATTTCAGCCTGAAAGCAGCAGGGTTCAGCACTCTAACTGTAATAACATAGCAAGACAAAACTCCTGTATTGTTCCCAAAGACAAAACACTCTTTTTGAAAAAGATACACTGTATCATGTATTTTTACACATTCAAGCACAGTAACAAAGTCATCGTCATCTTTTGTGGCTGTTACGTATATTTTGTCCAGAAAGTATACAGTTTGTTTTAGAGATCTCGCTTTGGCTTTGGCCATTCAAAACCCAAGAAACACCAAAACCACAACTAAATCAAGCCCACAAATCCCCTTCCTCCCAGAAGAAAACAAACAGGAAAAAACCCAACAACAGAAGTCTCCCAATGTCTGTCCTGTCTTGGAGACTGTAACAGACTACCAGGAAAGGTCATTATCTTCTTTTGTGAGTGGGGTTCAAGGAGAGAGTCTCATCAGGTGCTACATTACAGGTCTTGCCAGCATAACAGCATTTATTTAGGGTATAATACGTGACGTAAAACTGACAGCAGGAGCCTCTCAGTAGGAAGAGTTACTCAGAAGTATGATTGCAGTCATACTTTATTTCTGTTGGTGGTGGGGAATGAACTGCAGAAAAACTGCACTTCAACATTCAGTACCTGTGCAAGGAGAAATCTGCTGGGATGGCTTTTCCAATGAATATTTGAGACTGTTATTTTGCAGTTAAACCAGCAGCTCTACTGTATGGGCAAACAAGCTATAAAGCCTATGGACTGTCAATGGGTTAAGATATTCCTAAATAATTCAAGTGTGGACATGCTTATTGCAAAGATTATGCCTTGTGCATGATCAGTTTTGCTTGGAAATTCAGTATAACCTAGCGGACTTAGCAAGTAAACCTTACAAAGTTAACAAGAACTGCATATCTAGATAAACCCTTGGGTTTTTTATGGCTTTTCTGCCCACGAGATGCTTTTGGCTGCCTAGCTGGATTCAGCTGTCAGCCTCTCTCCCCAGACCTTACATAGCCTCTGCTGCTTGGTCCCTTCTTAGACGACTGATTTGGCTGAACCTCCTCATTGTTTAGCTGAGAAGAGGGCTCATTCACTCTGCAACAGCTGGAGTAAGCGTGATCTTGATTACTATGCAAGTAGCAACTTATCCAGGGTAAACAGTCAGACACTGGCCTGTGTCAATAGGAAGTCTGTAAATGGGAGATTCATTGTGGTAGAATTTATCTTTTTTCTGACTCTTTGAAATTCTTGTTTTTAAGTAAGAACATTCTGGGTTTATGTTTTCGTTTTTTTAAAAGCAGCATTGCTTTGCTTTTTATGTTAGAATCACAGAATCACAGAATAGTAGGGGTTGGAAGGGACCTCTGTGGGTCATCTAGTCCAACCCCCCTGCTGAAGCAGGGTCACCTACAGTAGCCAAATCCCCTGCCGAAGCAGGGTCACCTACAGCAGGCTGCACAGGACCTTGTCCAGGCGGGTCTTGAATATCTCCAGAGAAGGAGACTCCACAACCTCCCTGGGCAGCCTGTTCCAGTGCTCCGTCACCCTCAGAGGGAAGAAGTTCCTCCTCATGTTCAGACGGAACTTCCTGTGCCTCAGTTTGTGCCCATTGCCCCTTGTCCTGTCACTGGGCACCACTGAAAAGAGCTTGGCCCCATCCTCCTGACACCCACCCTTCAGATATTTGTAGGCATTTATAAGGTCCCCTCGCAGCCTTCTCTTCTTCAGGCTGAACAAGCCCAGTTCCCTCAACCTCTCCTCGTAGTGGAGATGCTCCAGTCCCCTCACCATCCTTGTAGCCCTCCGCTGGACTCTCTCCAGTAGCTCTTCATCCTTCTTGAACTGGGGAGCCCAGAACTGGACACAGTACTCCAGATGAGGCCTCACCAGGGCAGTGTAGAGGGGAAGGAGAACCTCCCTTGTCCTGCTGGCCACACTCTTCTTGATGCACCCCAGGATCCCATTGGCCTTCTTGGCAGCCAGGGCACACTGCTGGCTCATAGTTAACCTGTCGTCCACCAGGACACCCAGGTCCCTCTCTGCTCTCCAGCAGGTCCACCCCAAGCCTGTACTGGTGCATGAGGTTGTTCCTCCCCAGGTGCAGGACCCTGCACTTGCCCTTGTTGAACCTCATCAGGTTCCTCTCTGCCCAGCTTTCCAGCCTATCCAGGTCACGCTGAATGGCAGCACAGCCTTCTGGTGTATCTACCACACCTCCCAGTTTGGTGTCGTCAGCAAACTTGCTGAGGGTACATTCTAACTCTTCATCCAGGTCGTTGATGAAGAAGTTAAACAAGACTGGGCCCAGTACTGACCCCTGAGGGACACCACTTGTCACCAGCCTCCAACTAGACTCAGCGCCGCTGATGACAACCCTCTGAGTTCTGCCATTCAGCCAGTTCTCTATCCACTTCACTGACCACTCATCCAGCCCACACTTCCTCAGCTTCCCCAGGAGGATATCATGGGAGACTGTGTCGAAAGCCTTGCTGAAGTCAAGGTAGATAACATCCACAGCTCTCCCTTCGTCTACCCAGCCAGTCATGTCATCGTAGAAAGCTATCAGATTGGTCAGGCATGATTTCCCCTTGGTGAATCCATGCTGACTACTCCTGATAACCTTCTTTTCTTCCACTTGCTTGATGATGGCCTCCAGGATAAGCTGCTCCATCACCTTTCCCGGGATGGAGGTGAGGCTGACCGGCCTGTAGTTCCCTGGGTCCTCCTTCTTGCCCTTTTTGAAGATTGGAGTGACATTGGCCTTTCTCCAGTCCTCGGGCACCTCTCCTGTCCTCCAGGACCTCTCAAAGATGATGGAGAGTGGCTCAGCAATGACATCCGCCAGCTCCCTCAGCCCTCGTGGGTGCATTCCATCGGGGCCCATGGATTTGTGGACATCCAGATCGCTTAAGCGATCCCTCACACAGTCCTCCTCAACCAAGGGAAAGTCGTTTTCTTTGTAGGCTTCTTCTCTTACCTCCGGGGCCTGGGATTCCTGAGGGCCAGTCTTAGCACTGAAGACTGAAGCAAAGAAGGCATTCAGTAGCTCTGCCTTCTCCGCATCCTCCGTCACCAGGACACCCGCCTCATTCAGCAGCGGCCCCACGTTGTCCCTAGCCTTCCTTTTGCTGCTGATGTAGTTGAAGAAGCCCTTCTTGTTGTTTTTGACATCCCTTGCCAGCTTCAATTCCAGGTGAGCCTTGGCCTTCCTCGTCGCATCCCTGCATGCTCTCACTACGTTTCTGTACTCTTCCCAAGTGGCCTGTCCCTCTTTCCACATTCCATGGACCTTTCTCTTCTGCCTGATCTCCGCTAGAAGCTCCTTGTTTAACCATGCAGGTCTCCTGCCTCCTTTGCTAAATTTCTTTCTCAGGGGGATGCATTGCTCCTGTGCATGGAAGAAGTGTTGTTTAAAGAGCGACCAGCACTCATGGACCCCCCTGCCTTCGAGAGCCCTGGCCCACGGGATTCCTCCCAGTAGCTCCTTGAAGAGGGCAAAGTCAGCCCTCCTGAGGTCCAGGGTTTTGATCCTGCTTATCGCCCTGCTTCCTCCATGCAGGATCCTGAACTCGACCATTTCATGGTCACTGCAGCCGAGTCTACCTCCAACCTTCACGTCCTCCACCAGTCCCTCCTTGTTTGTTAACACGAGGTCCAGCAGCGCGCCTTTCCTTGTTGGTTCCTCCACCACTTGCATCAGAAAGTTATCATCGATGCTCTGTAGGAACCTCCTGGATTGCGCCTGCCTAGCTGTATGGTCTTCCCAGCTGATGTCAGGGTGGTTGAAGTCCCCCATGAGAACCAGGGCCTGTGACTGTGAGGCTGCTTGCAGCTGCCTGTAGAAGGCTTCATCAACCTCCTCCTCC